AATTCCCCAGCCAGCATGGCTGGCTGGGGAATTCTGGGAGTTGAAGTCCACACATCTTCGAGCTGCCAAGGTTGAGAAACACTGCATTAAGTTAAGAGGGGGCAGGTCTCTTGGTGAGACCTCTTGACCAACGTGTGGTGGAGAACTTGGCTGGAGACACCACGAGAAGGACAAATCATACAAGACTAGATGAAGTAAAACCAGACTTTACCCCGGAAGGGGCTGAAAACGAAGCTAAAGCTTAAATATTTTGGACACGCAAGGAGAAGGTAGGAGCCTCGGAGAAGACCCATCTGACGGCATGAAAAAGTCTCAAGGGAGGCCAGCAGAAGACCTCCTGTCCTTGATGGCGCAAGCAGCAGCTTGTAGGATCTCCACGAAGCCGCCACCGACAGACAATCCTGGCAAAGTTAATGATGTCCAACAGGTCAGGAGTTGGAAGCCACTGAATGACCTAAAAACCCCCCTGCAGAGATGGTCCTTTCCACCCCAACCTCCTTGGCTGGGTTCACACGTGAGCATGGGCAGAGATGGAGTGCTTGTGGTTCAGCCTGTGTGTGAATCGGGCCATTCCCACATAGCATGCTCGCCCCAGCACGGCCACTGTCTTTTGTCCACCCGAGTCTGCGGTTGCACGAACGCAGCCCAAGCGACGCTTGCAACGTTTTGCACCAACGCGCATCCCTTTGCAAGGGCTTGCCATGAACTGCATTCGGACGTTCTCTCGGGAGCAATTACAGCTGCTCAGGGATGACGGTGGGGAAATTGCGAGAGCGCCGACTGGGCAACAGACCCGGACTTTCCACTCCTTTTCAACCTCCTTTTACAACAGCGCGGCTTTCCGCTTGGGGGAGCCCGAGGGAACGAAGAAAGAGGAGGATGCCGGGAATTGCAGTCTTCTCTTGCTCGGAGGAACTACAGAAAGCAGTGCGCATGCGTAGTTGTGATCGTGGCTTTCGCCTCATACAGCCATAGAGATAGATAAAGTGTAGAGCTGCCCCTGAGTCACAGTTACAGAACTCTTGAGAGTACAGTAGGTGCAGTTACAAGATATATAATAAGCCACATATATAGGGAAAGGATGGGGGGCAGAGTAACTTTCCCCCCCTGCTTTACCTTCTGAGAGTTGTAGGTGCTCAGTAGGGAATCCTGAAGGTCAGGTGTTCCTGGCCGTGTCTTTACGGCAGTATTTCTCAACCTTGTCCACTTTAAGATAGCTGGACTTCAACTCCCAGAATCCACCAGTGCAGCATCTCTTAAAGCGGCCAAGGTCGAGAAACACGATTTCTTCATCGTATTAATCAGATTTCCATCAAAAAGCAGTGCTTCTCAATCTGGGCAAGTTTGACGGGGGTAGACTTCGACTCCCCTCTGAGGAATCTGTTAAAGTCCATGCATGCTGGCTGGGGAATTCTGGGAGTTGCAGTCCACAGCTCTTAAAGATGCTGAGGCTGAGAAACAGGAGGTCGAGCCGTCACCCGGTGCAAAAGTTAAGGATGCCACAGTACAAATGGGAAGAAAACTGGGAGCCGCTACAGCAGCGTTTCTCCGCCTGGGGAACTTGAGGCTGGCTGGGAACTCAAGGCTGGCTGGGGAATTCTGGGAGTTGCAGTCCACAGCTCTTAAAGATGCTGAGGCTGAGAAACAGGAGGTCGAGCCGTCACCCGGAGCAAAAGTTAAGGATGGCACAGTACAAATGGGAAGAAAACTGGGAGCCGCTACAGCAGCGTTTCTCCG